AGTTAATGGAAGGTCCGGATTTTCTCCTGATTTAGGCAACTGTGCACACACGCAACAGTCACTATGATTAAAAGCATTAGTAACATTCTGCACTAATTTCAGGTATAAATTCTGGTCCCAGGCTTGTGAGCCAGTTATCATATGAGTCCTGGAGTTTTCTCCGAATCAATAACTAGCAATTTATGGTTATTGTGAGTTACATTTGGATTCAGAGACTAGATGCATTTCAGTGCATTTCATCAGTTAAGATCATTTTTATAAGAACTGAAGAGGAAATAGCTGACATTTTTTTTACAAGCAAGACTGTTTAGAAAACAGAAACCTATTGTTAAGTTATAGAACGAATGAGACTTTTAAAGACATTGTGTAGCTGCAGAAATACTGATAAAGTCATTGGAGGTCAGAAAATCTTGGCTTGATCCTCTGCTACTAAATCATCTTACTTTAAACCTAACGAGAAAAGTCTTCATTTTTAGAATCATAGAATAGTTAGGTTTGCAATGGACTTTATGGTCATCTAGTTCCAAACCCCCTAACACAGGCAGGGATACTTTCCACTAGACAGGTTGTCCAGGCCCTGTCCAAGAAGGGCTTACAAAGATGCTGGGGAAGCACTTTTCATTAGGGACTGTAGTGGTAGGACAAGCGGTAATGGGTTCAGACTTAAACAGGGGAAGTTTAGGTTGGATATGAGGAAAAAGTTCTTTACTGTGAGGGTGGTGAGGTACTGGAATTATTTGCCCAAGGAAGTTGTACGTTCTCCATCCCTGTCAGTGTTCAAGGCCAAGTTGGTCAGAGGTTAGGTGAGATGGTTTAGTGGGAGGTGTCCCTGCAGGGGGGTTGGAACTGAATGATCTTAAGGTCTTTTCCAACCCAAACTATTCTATGATTCTATGATTCTACGGCCTTGAACGCTGCCAGGGATGGAGCATTCACAGCTTCCCTGGGCAACCCATTCCAATGCCTCGCCACCCTAACAGGAAAGAATTTCTTCCTAATATCCAACCTAATTCTCTGTTTCAGATTGAATGCATTACCCCTTGTCCTATCACTACAGTCCCTAATGAAGTGTCCATCCTCAGCACCCTTATAGGCCCCTTTCAGATACTGGAAGGCTGCTATGAGGTCTCCACACAGCCTTCTCTTCTCCAGGCTGAACAGCCCCAGCTTTCTCAGCCTATCTTCGTACGGGAGGTGCTCCAGTCCCCTGATCATCCTTGTGGCCCTCATCTGGACTTTTTCCTATGGTTCCATGTACTTTTATGTGGAGGACACCAGAACTGTACACAATACTCCAAGTGGGGTCTCTTGATACAGTAGTACAAAGTTGTCTTGGATTCTAGTCATTTTGTAGACAAGTTCTGAATACAATGAACAGATTCCTGGGTTTATAAATGGAAATTTTATTCTTGCAAAATAAACCAGAGTTCTCATGTGTTTTGCTTTGTGATTTGTTCTTTCTGAGAATTAATTAAAATGTTGAAATAAATAAATCTTAGGCTTTCTCTTGAGGCTTTCTCTTTTTGGCATTTGAATTGCTAACCTCTCTGATGCTGCACACATAAAAAACAATCCTTTTTTTTCTGAAGAGAAAGTTTATGAAGAAAACTAATTTTAACCTTCTTTTCTGATTCCTGTGACAATAGTCCTATATCTGTGCAAGCAGAACTGTCTGCCAGGAAATTTCTCAGATGTCAAGAGTCAAAGTGTAAGCATTAGCAAATGTAGGTTTTCTGTAGACATCAGAGCTCAGAATAATTTTGTGACCTTTCAGTTAAGTATGTCATGCATAATATATTTGCTTGCTTTTATCCTCAGTTTCTATTTTGGCTTCTCTGTGGTAAAAGCCAAAAAATTGGAATGCATCTAGCTCAGCAAAAATAAGATGAAGGATAATGTATGAATTTGTTTTATGATACTTTATAGAACTAAAAATTACAAATTACCATAATTTATGGCTCTGGCTTATATCTACAAGCAGACTCTCACATGTTTGAATATACCAGCTAGCATCTACTGGGCATTTTTAAAGACTTTCTTTCTTTACTGCTGATGAGAAAAGGTCTGCATGTTCTTCTTTAAAAAATAATGATAGACTTGTTCTCTGCTAAGAGGTATATATGTAATATGTACAGTAATAAAAAAAACAGCACACCAAACAAATCAAATCTTAAGTAGTATTCCATAATATTCTGCAATATTATGATTTCTCATAAATAAAAACAATAATAAATTAGACACCAGAGGTAGGCCTTGTTGTACTTAACTTTAGAGGTTTACAATGCAGATGTATATAACTAAGCTGAGCTCCTTTCATAGTTGGTGGAGAGGACTGAGCATTTTTGAAGAGCTATTCATCTTTCAGACATCTACCTTAGGGTGAGGGTCATTGTGCCCTGAAAGTGTCTAATTCTCTCCAGCTATGAAGGAACTGTAGGATGATTCTTGCAGTGTAGGCAGTTACCAGCAATAGGTGCGTGCATTCCTCAGACGTGTGGGATACGATATGTCCATTCACTGAAAGACTTTAGCTAAGGTGAGAATGTACAGTGCTTTCCGATGTATAAGGCCACCTAAAGGTAGCTGTAGCTTACGACTAAGAAACTGCACCTCAGAATATTTTAATTTCTGACTACACAGATGTCAAGCAAGAAGGCACTGGAGCTGGATTAAATCTAGACTGTTTCTTTACCCTGGTGCCCACACCTAAATTTCTTTCTGGAGGATGGATGTAGCAGCAGTCCACATCATTAGGCATCCAGATGAAATTTTGTCACCTTCAATTCAAATTACCTTAGTAATACAATTACCAGGACAGCAAAAGCAAATGATCCCATGACTTGGCTGTGCCAGAAATGGTGTGTCCTTCACCTAAAAATGGCAGTTTTTTTTCCTGGCTGAGAGTCCCACACACACCGCTCTGCACTGAATGTCATTTTAGGCTGCAGATTAATATTGCATTGCATGCACAGTGTGGTGCAAGCAAAGTATTTACAGTGAAGTAAATATACTCAGATCTGTCATCAGAATGATGATGCTTTCAATCTACTTCTCTTAGAGTCAGAAGTGGCAAGACACTTCCAATTTTAATCCCTTTATCTGCTGTTATTCTTTTATAGCCTATAGACTTTATAAACTGTATTTTAAAGCATCTTCTTAGCAGTCCTTTTAATAGCTGTGTGATAGATTCAACTTTTCCTCAAATCCTCATGTAGTGCCTACATGAGGACAAACCTATAACTTAGATCAGATCACATAGGTAAAAGTAACAGGCAGTGTAATTTCAGGTATCTTTTATACACTGGGATCAGTGGGTCCACAGCTGTGTTATCCCACAGTTCCAAATGGACTAACGCAGATCCAAGAAAAAGTAGTTTCCTGCTTAAACATGATAATAACTAACTGAAGAAGACTCTTGCTTTTTAATATTGAGGTGTAAGAAAGGAGACTGGCTTGTGTTTTGCATCAGGAGGTTCTGGTTTATTGCAAAAGGCAATCAGGCTCTACAGAGTATAATTTAAAATGCTCCCATGGTGTGTGGAAATTAAAATTTCGCCAGGCAGTTTACTAGTATTGCTACGGAATAAATTCTCTTTCAGGTACCAAACTAGAGATGGGATCAGCATTTTGGGAGATCGAGGGAAATAATTAAATTATATGCTGAAACAAGAAACTTGTAGGAGTTGCTCAAGCAAGTGAGCTTTATCAGTCACATGACTCTACAACATCACCAAATTCTCAAGATAAAAGAATAGTGTGGGGGCAGGATTATAAAGTAATATGCCTTTCCTGACTGCTAGAGAGCAGAGGAAGAGAAATGAAGAGATGTAAGTCACAATTGTCTTCTTTCCTAGCAGAAACTGCAAAAAGAAACCTCATGACATCCTTGTCTCTAAATTGGAGCGACATCAATTTGATGGATGGACCACTCAGTGGATAAAGAAATGGCTGGATGGCCGCACGCAAAGAGTTGTGGTCAATGGCTCAATGTCCAGCCGGAGACCAGTAACGAGTGGTGTCCCTCAGGGGTCAGTGTTGGGACCGGTCTTGTTTAACATCTTTGTAGCTGACATGGACAGCGGGATTGCGTGCGCCCTCAGCAAGTTTGCTGATGACACCAAGCTGTGTGGTTCTGTTGACACGCTGGAGGGAAGGAATGCCATCCAGAGGGACCTTGACACACTTGTGAGGTGGGCTGTTGCCAACCTCATGAGGCTTAGCCATGACAAGTGCAAGGTCCTACACCTGGGTGGGAGCAATCCCAGGCACAGCTACAAGCTGGGCAAAGAAGCAATTCAGAGCAGCCATGCGGAGAAGGACTTGGGGGTGTTGGTCGATGAGAGAATGAACATGAGGCGGCAGTGTGCACTCACAGCCCAGAAAGCCAAACTTATCCTGAGCTGCATTAAAGGGAGCATGACCAGCAGGTCGAAGGAGGTGATCCTGCCCTTCCACTCTGCTCTTGTGAGACCTCACCTGGAGTATTGTGTGCAGTTCTGGTGTCCTCAACATAAAAAAGGCATGGAACTGTTGGAACAAGTCCAGAGGAGGGCCACGAGGATGATCAGGGGACTGCAGCACCTCCCATATGAAGACAGGCTGAGGAAGTTGGAGCTGTTCAGCCTGGAGAAGAGAAGGCTGTGTGGAGACCTCCTAGCAGCCTTCCAGTATCTGAAGGGGGCCTATAGGGATGCTGGAGAGGGACTCTTCATTAGGGACTGTAGTGACAGGACAAGGGGTAATGGGTTAAAAGTTAAACAGGGGAAGTTTAGGTTGGATCTAAGGAGGAAATTCTTTCCTGTTAGGGTGGTGAGGCACTGGAATGGGCTGCCCAGGGAGGTTGTGAATGCTCCATCCCTGGCAGTGTTCAAGGCCGGGTTGGACGAGGCCTTGGGTGATATGGTTTAGTGTGAGGTGTCCCTGCCCATGGCAGGGGGGTTGGAACTAGATGATCTTAAGGTCCTTTCCAACCCTGACGATTCTATGATAACTTTTTGGTTGTTTCTTGTTAAGGTTTTCCTTTCCAGGCTATAGGTGTACTCTCACTCTTATCCAGATTTATGAGAATTTTAGTTTATTAAATCATCTCAGACAGGTTCTTTTCTCTAATTTGACTGCAGTCCCAACTTTTTCCCAGCACCAGGTTAACTTAATTCAACATATAAGCTGCTAACATTTAGCATACAAGCCACAGTATCGTACTTGTGTACAGTATTGTTTCTGATTAACAAATGTTTTTGATTTCCCATTCCCATTAACTTTAGCAGCTGAGGAAAAAATGCTCTAAATATTCAATCTGATGATGTGCTTGAAGACTTGACAGATGTGTGATAAATGTTTGAGAAAAATGTCTCTCACTGGAATTCCTGAAATTCCTTTGACATAAAGAAATCATCAGTTTGAGACTTCAAATATTTGAAGACACATACATTTTGGGGTGGATCAATATGGAAAATTACTTCTTTTTTCCCATGGTAATGTGCCAAAGTATGTCATCCTGTATCTCTGAATTATGTGTCTTGTCTGTCAGACTATTTTTTCCTATTTTCAGCAGTATTTGTACATTCAATCATAGGGTGGCTGCAGGAGAAAATTGGGCTTTTCACTTCTTATATGTGTACATTTTTATTCTTATATATATAGACCTTTCTAGATATTTTCTAAAAGGAACAACCATCAGATACACCATGAACCACTCTGAGAGGGAAACCTAGAGCTCTGAAGAAACACAAGTTGTAGTTGCAGGAGTGAGGAACTTTCACCTGGCCACTCTGTCTATGTAATTCAAAGTGATGTTCCTTGTATTCCTCATGGACCAATGCACAATCAGTTTGCAAGTGAGGCTGGTTGTTACAGTGTCACCATTTTGAATTTTCTGTGGGAAACAGCATAAGAAAATGAAACTTTCATAGGAATTCCCCAAACAAAAGCAGATCTCTTTTGGTCAGTTTTAGTCATTTAGATAGATGAGCCGTTAACTGAAAGATGCTGGGGATTTCATGCCAGGGATTCTTCCCTTAAACATTAGTGTATAATTAGAAAATATCTGACAGAATCAGATTAAAATTAGCTATTACCTTCAATTGTTCCACATTCAGGTCTTCAACATCTTGTCTATTTAGCCATAAATTCTCTAGTGACATGAATTCAGAATGAACACTCTTTCCCAAGATATTGTAAGAAAATGAAATATCTCAGGGATTTTCTGGTAAGTCAATGTAACATTTTGAAAATCTCTGAAGAAAACACAAAATCACAAAATGGGATTAAAGACAGAAGATTAAAATAGAGAAAGGCAAGGACAAAAAAAGAAAGGAAGAAAATGTAGGACATGAACAAAAGTGTGGATTGAAATATAGTACAGAACTGCAGACAAGCAAAGATTAAGCAAACTGCAGACAGAAAGCAGAGAATGTCCAGTCATTATGAGATTATAGAAAAGCAAGAACTGTACAAAAGGAACACCAGAAGATGAAAATAAGGATGATGTTATGATTAATTTGAGATCACTGTCAAAGCTTCAGTTGATGACAGAATCAGGATATAAACACACAGAAAAAAGTATACATCTATATAAAAGCATACATATACATTAAACATACAATGTATAGACATATAAATGTATCCACATATATATTTGCATGTGGCAGGGAAAGCTGGAAAAAAATTACATATATTCTTACAGCACAGTTATAAAAAAAATGAAATTTTAATAGTGACACACCTGAACATATTGAAAAATAGCTTAATTGGGTACTGACAGCAGTCTGGCAAGAACAGCATATGTGGATTTATCTTTGTCATTCTTTGTCAGAATAGAAAAATGCCTATGAAAAGATCTTGAGTAAAGACAGTATTCTATATTTTAGAATCAAAATTCTAGACTTAAAACATGATTCAGCAACTTCAAAGATAATAAAACACACTTTATGATTAGCAAATTTCTCCTGGCCTGGAGACTGGTGTGCTAAATTATCAAGTTTGAATAAAGCTTCACTTTTGTGTGGAAGTTTTATCAAATGAATATAGGCAGCAGAGTTAATTTTCTGTCAGCAGCTGCTGTACCTAGTCAGGCGGCCTGCCCCAAAATGGAGACAAAAAAAAAAAATTCTTTGTGGAAAACTTGTTTGAGAAGGTATGATATGTGTGTCAGTGTGTCTAGCAAACCAATTGTCTTAAACTCAACCCTGCTGGAGTCCTGGAGTGCCACCTTGCAAGAGCTCATCTGTGAGAGGCTGTCAGGCATTCTTGCAGGTCTTTCAGCCTTCCCTCACCTCATGGATGCCAAGGCAACCTCCTTCTGTGGCCTTCCCTTTGGCTCTGCTCACCCATGTTCTTTTTGCAGGGCAATAAATTTGGCTGTGGAGAGACATGCTGTCTTTCCAAGAACATCTCTTGAAAAGAAATTACTTCACGTTACACTTAACAGTGAAATAAAAAATCCTCTCAAGCAGTATCCAATTTAGTCAGAACAGCCTCTACAGGTAGTGTCTCTCCTGGGACATAGTTCTGCTAGAAAATTATGGACTGTACATGAAGAAGCATTTGTTCAGAGATGTTTCATATTCAGAAGATACCAGAAGAGACTCTAGTCAACATTTTAGTATAATTGCACTGAAAATCAATTGTACAAGGAATGAAGAAGGGTCATTCTGGAAGTACAAACAGTTAGTTTGGTGTTTTTTGCAGTAAGTCATTCAGGTATAAAGGTGTTTGAAATCTACAAAAATATAACCTTATAAAAACATTGATGCACAGAGTTTGTTGAAAAGCAATGATTGCAAACAAAACCAAAAACAACAAAAAAAGAAGCTAAAAGAAAACCAATTTGATCTAGTCACATAAGCTATTGCAGACTGCTGGTTTTGTTTACCTTTATTGTAGTTCCCAATGTTTTTCCATCCTACTGAGATGTTATGCGTGTACACTTCAGAGAGAAATGATAAAAGAGAAATTTTTTTTTCTGTTTGAGAAATAAAGCTTTGTTGTTTTTATGTGCTGCATTACTGGGTAGGAGTAAAAACAGACAGCAAACAAATATATGCATTGCATAGCCAGCCTAAAATGTCCTGCAGCAGGATTGAGTCTAGACCAATATGCTACATTATCTGCAAGGGAAAAAAAAACAAACAAAACACTGAAGGCATCAAGCTACATTCCTTTAAAAAAAAAATTCTCTTAAATCTGCAGCATCCTCAAGTTTCCACTTGCTGTTTCTCCTTCACATTTTTGTTATTTGAAGTTCACATTAAACAGCTTTAATAATTGAGTTACATCTTCTCTTTTTGTATACAACTGTGTCAGGGACTATAGATAATGGTCTGTGGTGAAACACACAAAGATAGAAAAGTACTGTTTGTCTGCTTTGGCTTCTCCCCAGAGAGTCCTGCTTTGGCTGCTCACCAGAAAGTCCAGCTTTGGTTCCTACTTGGAAAATTCTGGTTTGGAACTCCTGAGAAAAGTCTCAACCCTTGGAGACCTTCCTAGATATTGCTGGCCACTTCTTCCCACTTAGGCTAGCCCCCTGCATTGGAATGAGTGTGCATTTTGGTCAGTATAAAAGCCTGAGTCTCATGTGGTGGGGTTGAGACAGAACCTCATACCCTCCAGGTCAACGTTGCCTCTGTGGGGATGCCCGCTAAGGTTGAGCCTGCCACCTCCGACTGTGATGATGATTCTTGGAGCTGGTTTCATGATCACTTTCACTGGGTCCTTGAGGCTGGTAAGATAATCAAACATCAGAAGTGTCCTTTACTGTATCCTTTACTATCTCTATATTTTCCTATATTAATAAATTATAACTTATTGACAAGTTTATTTCAATGCATGTTTGCAATGTGCATTCTTTTTTTACATGCTTGCATGATACTTTCTACTTGCAAAAATATTTCAGAATCAACACATTTCAAATGTCTATACAAAGACTTTCTTCAATGAAAGCAAACAAATAAATTTAAAAAAAAGAAATTAACAGAAAAATGAATCGAAACAGCTTAAAAAGGTTGGTGACACTAACAACTCAAGTGCTTGAGTTCTTTATTTCAAGCAATTTAACCAATGAGATGTTTTCATCTCATAGCAAAATGCTCACAAAATAAACATGATTTTTAAAAAATAAGTATTTCTTTTGAAATTCAAAAGACAGGTGTTACCAGCATATTTGTGCTACAGATGAAGTGCTTGCTTATTAACTGTAATCATAGACAAAGAATAAAGGATGCGTTGTCCTTAGTTCTGAATATTCATGCTCATGTGACACCAGAAAAATTTTCTAAAACCTTCTCCTCTCTGTTTTCTGCACCCTTCCACCTCCCCTGCCCCAAACCCCACAAATATGGCCACAGATATTTTGAGGTACAGTTCTGCTTCTGCACTTTTTTGAGGGAAATTACCTGGGTATTTGAGAACTGTCTGGTTGGTTCCTAAAATTGAAATAAAAATCAGACTGATTGCATATGCTGCATACCAAGCAGAAAAGGGTGGGGAGCTGTAGCTGTTCTCACAGTTCTAATAATTGATATTTTTTATGTTTAAATCATAGAATACCATAATAAATTCTACACTGTGACTATAGCACAAAATAATGGATTTGGCAATGGACTTAGGTGCATCAAATGGAAGTTGTCATATGGAAAAGATCAGCTAAACACTGTATTATTTTGAATTTTCAAATGACAAGAAAAAATGTAACCACATGGAAAAAGACTCTACTTTGTTATACTACATTTTCTATATTTCTTGGAGGTGAGAGAAAACTCAAACAAGCCCAGGATGGGGCAAAAAAGTGGTTTTCATTGTTCATTTTCTATAGCAATCAGAATTAGAAGTATCTGTCTGTGATTTCAAATTTATGAGTTTGGACTTAATACTAGTTGATTTTTAAAAACAGGCCTTCTTCTTTTTTTAACACTGAGCACTGTTGAGACAAAGCCAGCTGGAGTGCACAGAGCTGATGTTTATGTGTTGGTTTAGCTGATCAGAATAAGGACAAAGCAATCTGAAGAAAGAAACAAGTATACTACAAAATGTAAAAAAGTGTAAACTGCTGGGGCTGAGTAGCCGGCATCATTTAGACTACAACCCATAGCAACTTTCCCCTAGTGTGTAATCCTTTTCAAACACACAAGGTAAAATATACTTCCTGAAAAGCTTTGTTGGTCATTGATTATCAGTGTCATCCAGGGGCTCACAGGCACATGGGTAAAACGATTTCTGATTCCACTTGAAGTGTCTCGAAGTCTCTCTCTGGTAGCCACTAAAACATTCCCATTTGAAATTAAAGCTAGGTGAGTTATAATTAAATAATGTCAATAAAGTTCATAATATCTTTTTCCCATATAAATGATTCAGAATTGTGGGGTTTGGTGGTTTTGTTCTCTTGTTCTGTTTTGGGTTTGTTTGTGTTTTTTTTTTTTCTTAAATCATGCCATACTATGTTGTTTTTTTTTACTTGTTAGAATACCTAAAAATACAGTAAAGTAAAGCAAAACTATTGCTTGTAACTTTCCTTTCTGTACTCACCCATTTGCTACATTAGTAAAAGTGTGGCTTTGCAAAGACAGAAGCCCTGTTTGACTTATTCATGCCTTTTGAGAAGTTGTAGCACCTTATGTCATATAGGTAAATGACAAACAGCTAATTTTTTTTCTGTCATAGTCAGCAGCACTTTGTATCAACTGAATGCTTGTAAGATTTACCTACCAGGCTAACAACAGGGCATGCTATGAAGACTGAGATTTTCCCCTGGCTAAAACATGGATAGAAATCAGAATTTTAGAAGTGTAATACTAGAGACAGCAGCAATGAATTACTGGAGTGGATCTTGTAAAGGAAACAATATTCTTTCTAATAATGAGCTTGCATTTTAGTGTTATTTTGGATAAAAGAACTCATGAACTATGAGATTCTGGACAGTGATTTATAAAAGCCAAGTCAGTCAAGTTTAAACATGTATCTTGTCCATGTGAGAGTAAAATAGGGACAAGGGAAAAATAACAGTCCGTGATTATACTGAACACATTTTCATTGGTGATCAGGGAAATCTGGAAAAAAAATATTGTCAGTGTAAAAAGCTGAAGAAACCAGCCATGCCAGAATGGCGTTTTTTTTTTGCTTTTACCTAACTTTACTGGGACAAAGACAATGAAAAATGCCTTGATCTGCAGTAATCTGAGGAGGAAATGGGCTTTGTAGTAAACTAGTTAAGTATATCTTAAAGGTCTTCATGTCATAAAAAAAAAAAAAGAAATCATTCAGGAAGCACATAAGAGAGGTATCTTGCAACTGAATGTAAGTTAATGACTGTGTGTATCTGTTTAAGCCTTAACTATGTTAGAAAAAGATGGGTTAAATATTCATTCAACTGAATGATACTTCTGGCATTTTTCTGCACTACTATTAACTCTTACTGTGACTTTGGAACTGTGTATACAGTATGATACTCAATACCTCAAATTTAAGTTTTTAAGTATACTTTGCTTACCCTTTGTTCCCTATCAGTACCAAAATTTTTAGCATTTTGTAAATATAACCTATAAAATTAAAAAGATAAATGACGGCAGGAAAGAAGATAAAAATATTAGTGCAGAATATTAACTGGTATTTTTGGCAGACATACTTCTTTTGCATGCAAAGCCAGAATAATGTGGGAATTATAAAAATTGAATGTTGCTTTGATTCCTGCTGAGCACTGTAATAAAAAAAAAAAAAAGCCTGAAAGCTTTGTTCTAAAAAAAAATATAATGATATGAAAAATTATATTTTTTTAAAAGTAGTAAAAATCTTGTACAGATGACTTGTATTGCTTGTTTATGCACTCTCACCACAGATGAAGTTAACCTTACCCCTGGAGTCATACAGGCTTCTTACACAATGACTGACAGTTGTTTTGAAATATTTGAAGTTTTGTGATTACTGTTACGGTTCACAGGGTGATATTTTTCCACTCATGCAACACGGTGAGTTATACTGCCTGTCATTTGCTGTCTGTGTTTATTTCCTACACAGTAATATTTATTATCTTTGTTATTTTTACACATCTGTGCAGCAGACAGAAACTGCCTCAGAACTACTGCTAGTATCTTCAGGGTTAGTGGCTTCAAATCATTTTTACCTTTGACTAAGCTATCATTTTATATGCACTATGCTATCTACTGTACTTGAACTAGAAAATGTTAGCTATGAATCTCAAACTCTAAAGCCTTTAAGTGCTTGTTCATCTTTACTACTAATAAAATATTACCATAAGGGTTATTCAGTATTGTGAAAGCAGTACTTTAAATAAAAAGAAAAAAAAAGTTCAATTAAACTGAAAATTTACAAGGAAAGCTCAATAAATTGTATATCTGTGTGAGGAGCAACTATGTAGAAGAGTCAAATAGCCTCTAATAGTAATTTTTAAATATATGTGGATAGGAGGCTGACTGGTATGTGGATGACTTCTGTGGATTGTCAGCAGTACATTTATTACTTTGGAAATCAAAGACCAATCTTGCCCCAAGGAACTGACAGCCAAATTCAAATTGGACAGCTGATATGAACATAGCTATGTGTGCCAAAATGAGCAGGATATAAAAACTAAACTTTTCTCAGAATACAGTTTGAGATTAATGAATGGCTCCAGTCACTTATCTCATTGAGTCAAGTACTTCAAGATTACATTACTGTTCAGATCTTTCAAAATATTTTTGGACAATGTGAAAACTTGTCTTTAAATCATTAGATAAGTTAAATATTCAAAATACATTTGCATACACTGTAAAAGAGTGGAAGCCTTCATACAAGGTTTGTATAGTAAGCTAATAATAAAATATCATAAATTGAGGTCTTTGAATCAGTGAAAATAAAGAAGTCATGGAAGACCAACTCAATATAAACTGGAAGAAATGGTTGTCAAACACTGACAAATTCAACCATAAAAAATGATTCACATAATTTGAGTGGCAAACATGTAAATAATTTGTCAATTTTTATGAACTGATGAGTATTAAAATGTCAACTATACATTTTATATGGTTTAACCTGATTTATTGCACTTTAATGTTCTACTGAGCACCATATTGTAACTTACAGTCATCAAACATCACTTTTAAAAAGTATAATCTAGCTAAAGCTGTTAGTTTTTTTTCAAGCAACAGATCTTCTCAGTAACTAGCTAAATTTTA